GAACTGCGGCGCGGCCATCTCCCCTGGGGGGGAATTCTCGCTTTCTGTCCCTCTGTCTCTGTCTTTCTGGCGAGTGTAAGTGCCCTATAAGAAAAACTTCTAAAAATAAATAAATAAATAAAAACACAAAGTGGGGAAAGTGATAGTGACTTATAAGGCTAGTCATAAAAAGGCATCATAAAGGCACCGAGGTTTCTGTGTGCATGTCATGCATCTGTCTGTGTATGTGTGACTGTGTGTTTCATCACTGGGGAATGCTACCCGTCATGTTGTGAAGACACTTAACAAACATGCTGGACGTGTGTGTGTGTGTGTGTGTGTGTGTGTGTGTCCGTGTGTGTGTGTGTGTCCAAAATCCCCAAAAGGGGAATAAATGAAGAAGGAACTACAGCATGACCATCTCTCATGAGGAGTGCTTTCTCATTTTCCTTCTCTCTCTCTCTCTCTCTTTCTTTCAGTAGAGCAAGCATCCTCTCCTTTTTCCTTCCTTTCTGGCTAGAAAAGAAGGAAAAATCTCATTGAGTAAAAAGGAGCTCAGTGACATTTTAAGGCTCAGCTTCCATTCCAGAATGAAAATATATAATGAAGAATTCAGGTTCAACTACAATAAGGCCCATGTTACTAACCCGAGTTGTTTTATTCTTAAATAAAGTTTTACAGTGATAAATGATAGCATTTCTCAGTATCACTCAAGAACTATATATACTTGTGTACATATTTCCCTTTTCTTTTTTCTATTTATTTATTTAATGAAAAAGAGGAAGTCAGCAGGTGGCATGGTAGTTAAGGTGCTAGACTTCCACATGGCCAACTGTGGCCTGAGTCCCAGACCTGGTGGCTTGAAACTCATGCAAGGTGTGTGTGTGTGTGTGTGTGTGTGTGTGCGCGCGCACGCAAGAAATCCTGAGAGGAGAGTAGAGGAAAAGGGATTTTGGCGTGGCAACCCACCACCCCTCCTGGGGGGAAGGAGTGATTTCTTACTTTTCCTCTTACTATCCCCTTCTGGTGAGCACACATGCCCTATAGCAAAAAATCCTAAAAAAACAAAAAGACAGGGTTGGGGGGATGGATCCCCAATAGGGTCTTTCCATGTTGCAATCCTCCTGACAGCCTTCCCACCAGCCAGGGTCATATGTGTGTCTGCTGTACCCGGGTCCTGTAACACGAAGTGGTGCCCTACCACCTGTGTGCTACTACAGGTAAGTCTATTTTCCTTTCTTTTTTACATAAAAAGTAACATACTATTTATACTCTTTTGCATCTTACTTTTTACACTTAATTGATAATAAAAATTATTCCATTTCAGTTTACAGGATTTTTAGAGTAATATAGAATTCCACTGCTTGAGTGATAGATGCTGCATCTTAAGACAAATATTTTGGGACCAGCAGATAGAATAATGGTTATGTCACTGGACTCCCACATGGCCAACCACAGTTCAGATCCTGGACCCAGTAGCTTCAAATTAAATACTAGGTGCATATGCATGTGTGCCCAAAATCCCAATAGAGGAGAAAGGACTGTGGCATGGGCACCCAAAAAGGTGATTTCTCACTTTCTCTTTCTGTCTCTCTCTCTCTGGTGAACACATGCACCCTAACAGCAAAAATCTCTCTCTAAAAAAAGATATCTATTGTCTAAATTCAATACAGTATTTCAAAACCTAGGTCAGGGGAAGTACTCCTCAGTTTTAAATTGCAAGTTTTTCTTTATGGAAAAGAAAAATGTTGCACTAACATTTCAACTAATGATGAACACATAGTTGTAATATACAGTTATTGGTTTCATCACCGTGAGCATTATCAGAAAAATCTGAATTTAACTTGCAAAACTGATGTAAGAAATAAAGAATTCACACTCTGACTGCATAATCTAGTATTTTTGAAAAG